CTGTGTTTCTCCTTGGATTTATCCTGTATGGGACTCTGCAGTTCCTGGACATGGGTGGCTCTTTCCTTTCCCATGTTAGGGAAGTTTTTGACTATAATCTCTTCAAATATTTTCTCGGGTCCTTTCTCTCTCTCTTCTCCTTCTGGGACCCCTATAGTGTGAATGTTTTTGCGTTTAATGTTGTCCCAGACGTCTCTTAGGCTGTCTTCATTTCTTTTCATTCTTTTTTCTTTATTCTGTTCCACAGCAGTGAATTCCACCATTCTGTCTTCCAGGTCACTTATCCGTTTTTCTGCCTCAGTTATTCTGCTATTGATTCCTTCTAGTTTTCATTTCAGTTATTGTATTGTTCATCTCTGTTTGTTTGTTCTTTAATTCTTCTAGGTGTTTTTTAAACATTTCTTGCATCTTCTTGATCTTTGCCTCCATTCTTTTTCCGATGTCCTGGATCATCTTCACTATCATTATTCTGAATTCTTTTTCTGGAAGGCTGCCTATCTCCACTTCATTTAGTTGTTTTTCTGGGGGTTTATCTTGTTCCTTCATCTGGTACATAGCCCCCTGCCTTTTCATCTTGTCTATCCTTCTGTGAATGTGGTTTTTGTTCCACAGGCTGCAAGATTGTAGTTCTTCTTGCTTCTGCTGTCTGTCCTCTGGTGGATGAGGCTATCATGGAGGCTTGTGCAGGTTTCCTGATGGGAGGGACTCTCAACTCTTCTATAATGTAATAATCTATTAGTCATCTTTGTCTCCCTAAGGTTAAATCCAGATAGTCAACTTTAAGCGCAGCGTAAAATAAATTAATGCCATAAATGTACACAAGGTTAAGTGGCTATTAGATCAAGCATTAGGGAAATCTGTGTTTGACTCTTTGACCCTGAAGAAGAGTATACTGTGAACATTCATGACTAGAATGGTGGCCCTGATTCTATTTCTCCTGTTTCCAGGAATTCACCTCTAAACTATATATTTCTAATGTAAAGAAAAATAAGAAATTACAGAAAAGTAAGAAAGAACAAAGACAGAGATAGGAAAATTCTGATAGTAGCAACAACATATATTTTTTAAATTTTTAGCTGGAGTACAGCTTACAATAAAACACACAGTTCCTAAGTATTAGGCCCATGAGCTTTGTAAATTGTATATATCCCTGCAACCACCATCTCAAAAAACCTTTAGCCTCTAAAGCTTAGAGCATTTCCATCACCCTTCTCTCAGAGATAATCACTTTTGGACTTCTATCACCTTTGGATTTGTTTTGTCCGTTGTTGGATTTCATACAAATGACATTATACAATGTATGTTTTATATGTATGTGTCTGGCTTTTTTCCTTCAACATAATGTTTTTGAGATTTTTACAGTCACACACACACACACACACACACACAGAACATAAACAGAAGCAAAATAGATTTAACATATAAGAAATAATAAATGTGTGTAAATATTTGCAGGAAACAAAACTATAACAGAGTAATAACACAGGAAAATTGAACAAGATTCAACAGGAAAGTACAGCAAGGTAACAAAATTTAAACAAAACCAACAAAACTTCAAGAAGTACAAAAAACTACAATAACAAAATTTAAAACTAATCTACCAGCACATTAACACAACAGAAAAGAGAATTTGGAAATTGGGAGATAGAAAAATGTCTAAAGAATGAGAAAATCTTGTAGACTGCATCTATATAAAGTATACAAAATGCATTATGAAGGAGGAAAAATAGAAAATATAGGAAAAAGATTAGAGATCTGGACAATATAATGTGACGGTCTAATATGCATTTGATAAGTGTCTTGAGAGAAAAGTGAGCAGAGGCAATAACTGAAGAAATAAATGCAAGAACTGATGAAAGATAAACCAGAGATTCAAGAGGAATGTGAATCCCAAACAGAATAACTAAAATATTTATACTAAGATATATCGTAATGAAAGAACCAACGACAGACTTCAGATAAAAACCTGTAAAGTCCCAGTGGAACAATTATAATCATAAAGATTATTATAAGAGAAAACAATCAGCTTAGTTCTTGAGAGGCAGAATGGTAGGGTACAACTCTAGTTAAAAGCATAGGCACTGAAACTAAATTGTATTGGGTTTGAATCCTAAATTCACTACTTACTAGCTGTTGTAGAGACTTTGGCAAGTTACTTAATCTTTATGTACTTTTCAGTTCCCTCATCTACGAAAGAGGGATAGAATATTCTTTCTCATTTTGTTTATATATACATATATATGACTTAAAATAGCTCCTTCCACATAGTGGAATTCTTCAGTTAACTATATAAAAGTATATAACCATAAGATATAATAAAAGATGCCCACTCAGGCAATCACAAGTAAAATTAAATACATAACTTATTCAATCACTAATATTCCCTAGGTAAAAACAGAAACCCAGATCTAACTTAGTTGAGGCAGTTCAACTTGATTCCAATACTTTACTAGCAGTAAAATTTTATTGTGCCACCATATAACAAAAGTCACCTCACCACAGGATGAATTTTTCATTATTCATGAACAACGGGTTACTATGTAACTACAAACAACAAGATATGAGGGTGGTGGCTGAGGTCAAATTTAACAAATTACCTTGAAACAAATGATCAATATGAACTAGGGTAACATTAAATAAATGTGAAAACCTTTATAGGAGACAACAGAGCTAAAAGTAGTCCCTGAAGTTTGCTCTCTGAACACCACTGTCAACAAATAATACCTTTATTTGCACCAAAGTACAAAAATAAGATAGCACTGAAGGTATACAGACATAACATTTTCAAGTGGTTACTTTTTAGGCAGGTTCTGAACAAAATTATATTATCTTCTATAAACAGAGACAATAGATACAAACATAAGATACAAAAGTATATATAAGGACACTTTATATATATATAATACATACACATACACACACACACACACACACACACACACACCACACAAATATTTAGTAAACTAAGTACCGAACCATGGTCCAACAGTTTATGTGAAAAATTTTCTGCCCTGCCAATATATTTTTTGGATGAATCTAAGGCAAGCATGACTCTATACCATACATCAACCTCAAAATACCACAGAGGGATCCAAAAATATTCCCAGTTCTCCCAAAGAATACCAAATAACCACAATTTTTATATGTAGTCCTGATCACTGTGAATGTCTGCCCACCAGAAAAAAGAAGAAAAATAAGGGGATAGTGATATGGCATGAAGGTAAACTAAAAAAAGTGACTTATGTGTGTATACATAAGAAGGCTAAAAGATGACATAATACATGTTTACTAAGGCATCAAAGATGTCAACAGGGTAAACAAGTTCCAAATCTGAAAATAACAGAACCTAAGGGTCACCAGTTAATGACTGAAATGGACAAGTAAAGGTCAGCCTAGAGGGGCTCCTATTTTGACACAATGGTTTATTTGCCCTAACATCAGTTAAATATCTGATAGATATCTGAAGCTACTCACTACGGGCCATCAATAACACAGAATATGGGTGTTGCCACACTTCCATCCTTGTGTGCCACCCCAACTCCCAACACCGTACAACATCTAGATCCCAGACCACTGCCTAGAACATTGGAAAAGAGAGAAATCCAAAGAAAAAGTCAGCAGTGCCCATTCCCTGCATCCTGGGCCTCCCTATTGTGATTCACACAAACTAACTCCCCCCGTCCTGGTTTCACACCCAGGAGGGAACCTTGTAATTTTAACTTAGCATTCTATGTATATCAGCCTACAGAAAGAAAACATATTATTTATTCTGATGTGGGCATTCTGGACCCATAATAGTAAAATACCTCACTGAAAGTTAGAAATTAACTCTTTCTAAATATTTACACCTCTGAGAGCTTGACTGATTGCATGAATTGATTAATACTGTGAATCCACTTCTGATTAACAGTGACAATCTTAATGAGACAACCTAACCAGATTTTCTGTCATAAAGTCAAGGACCAGAACTTAAACCTAGGTGAACTCATGCCAGGTAAATGCCAGTGCCAACTCACATGTCAGTCAGCCAGTCTCTCCTGCTGGCACCACAACCCTTCTGTGCATTTTTATTTCCCAGTAAAAGTAAACAGCATTTGTTGCAGTGAAACTTGGTTTACACTCACAGGATACTTAAAATTAAGTGGCACAGTTTTCTATCTCATCCCCAACGTATTTTTTTTTATTTCTCCCATGCCTCTTCCTCAAATAGTCTCTCCTTCTATATTAAAGTCACATTACCCTAATAACAGTGGTTATATTGGCAGAGACAAGATTGAGACTGGCAGGCAGGCTGGGAAAACCAAGCCATGCTCAACCTCAAGGAAACATGGCTGGCAAACCAGATAGAACAGATGTGCCAGCAGAAAGTTATATCTTATAAAAATTCCCAGATCCCAACTATTCAAAAAAAAAAGGCTGCCTTATAGCTGTCATACCAGGCACATCTGCGACTTCAAAACAGTCCCAGGGGACTTTGCTTGCCTGGCTATCCACCCACATCAAGAATTTCTGAATCCTTGAAGGTCAAGCAATAGCCAAGTTTTACCAAATATAAAAACATCAACAGAAAAAGAGATGTTGGAAGGTACCTCAAATACATTTTCAAATAATGTAATCCTGAATACTAAGGACACCTTTGTCCAAGTGCTTGAATCAGGAAGAAAAATCTAGCATTCTAACTTTTATCTAATAAAAAATGCCAATATGCCAGCTTCCTTAAATTCAAATTTTTTAAAATTCAGTTCTATAATGCTGCCAAAGTAAAGGGATTAAGTTTTTGTAACACACAAAGACACACAGATCTCTTATATATACATTATCATACACTTGAGGGGCATGAAGATGCTAGGAGCTTAATAACAAAAGGTCAGTTACACTTACCACTTTCCCAATAAACACTTAAGTTAAAAGGATATGAAAAAAAAGTAGTGAAAATGCAACTTGATCATTAAAGAAATAACAAGAAAATAATTAAAGAAAAATAAGAAACATGAACTTACCAGTTTAATTGCCACATATTCATTTGTGTATAAATTTTTCCCTTGAAAAAAAAAGAAAAATGTCAGATTCTACCAGCAATGAATTTTTAAAGATACATTATGTAAAACTGTACTTTGGGGGGTCAGGGGAAGCACATAACACATTTAAATGAAACATAGGTTTTTGCTTCCAACTATTTAGCAGAAGTCTCAATAACACAGAAATATTTAAATTTATGATCAACTCCATAACACATTCAGTATTTCACCTAGATTCAGAGTAGAAAGTAATACTAATAAATACTTTAGACCATTTATTTAAAAAAAAAGAAAAATTCTTATTTTGTTGGAATACTGCATACAATTTACAAAGTAATCAGTAGGCAAACACATGCTAAACTAAATTTCAAAACTAGAACCCTATATAGAAATTGGAGTACAAAATTCCTTTCTCGATCACCACGTCATTTTAAATCCTTCATTATTACGGGATGTGATCTTAATAGGGCTCATATGTAATCTAGTAAATAGATCAAATATATAGAAAAAAATGTGGAATACCTTTAAAATAAAATTTTAAAAGTATTATTCAATAATTGGCTTTGACAAACTAGTTAATTACTCTGAGGGGAAGAAGGTTATTAAGAACTTGCCTTATAACCAAATTAAATTCCAGGTATTTTAAGAGTTAGATATAAGCCATAAAACAAGAAAAAATATTTATCAGGCCAGTATACAGAAGCCTTTTTGAGCGTTAAACATAAATGGAAAAAGATTAAAAGATCAGAAGATTTTATACAGATTTGATAGCTTAAAATATTTTAAACTTTTGTAAGTTGAAAAAAACTATTATATACAAAGAACAGGTGAAAGACAAATCAGAATAAAGATTTAATATAATTAATATGTAAAGAATTCAAATGAATTACAGTAATTACTGGCAACAGCAAGTTGAAAATAATCTAGAAAATTCCAAGGGGTCAACATCTGTAGTTCAAGTAAAATACTATGGAGAATTAAGTATATGAAGAAAATCTGATACAGAAATTAATGTGCTTCTTTACAAGTACAGTTCAAAGAATAAAAAATAGAACAATATTTGATTTCTGGATTTCCAGTATTCTTTCAATAAGCATGTACTATTTTTATAGTAAGAAAAACAGAACACTGATCGTTGTGGTTTTTAACTGTGATAGTAACTGGCCCTGGTCACACTGGCTACTTAACACAAAATAGGTAATCATCAACTTTCACACATGTGATTTTTCCAACATAATACACCTAACTTCATTTTATACAACAGCTAATAAATGGCAGTAAAACTTCTAGACAAAATTTCAGTCTTGGATATGCTGCCACAGTGAGTATTTTCACCATAAGAATCTTTGCCACAAGCAGTTTCGCAGCACAGCTAATTGCCCATGAGGCAATTTTGATGGAAAAATTGAAAATTATATTTTGATATAAATGTGAAAATTTTATATGAAATTAAAATGAAAATAAAATTTAAAATGAACATTAAAAAGGACACAATGACACATGAAAAACTAGTAATAAAATATTTTAAAGATTCTACTGTCAAAATGAAAATACAAAAAATATCTGAATACATTTAAAACGTGTATAGATTCATGATTATAGTTGTATTATGGTATATCTGAGAAAAGGTGATACTTCCTTTGTCAAAGTCAATCATTACGGATTCAGAATCTCATGTTGGACCTAAGTTCTCTACAGCATAAAAAAACTCTAAGTCTCCACAGATATCCCTGGAAATAAAATGAACAATCGAGGGATGCTCCTATTTATTATCAATATATGTAACCTATATAACTGGTAGTAAATCTCTAGACTACATTTAAATATTCCATCACATGACCAGTCTTTATGTTTTACCAAAGCATCTAAGCCAGATTCTGTACCAAATACAAAAGTTCTGTCTCCATAATGTTCTCCACTATCAAATAGCAAAAATTTTCACCATTTTCAAGAAACTTACACTCATCAGGAATCACGTAACCATTTCTTTATGGGGGATAGGAAGAGCTTGATTCTTCTTTTGCCTCCAACTTCTAATATTGCATGATAAATCTGATAAAGACAGCATTAGAGCGCAAGCTGTTGTATCTAGATTAGCCAAAGAATTGACAATTAATGCTCTGGATGACTGTTGTGAGTTACTAGCTGCTTCTTTATATTTGCTATAGTTTGGTAAGCTTTTGGTTTGAGGTGTGGCAGGGATGACTGTGTTCACTGAAGGATCTGCAAAGTGATGTTCTCATTTTCTAGTACTGTATGCAATCTGGCTTTTCACTCTCTTATGTCATACCTCTAGTAAGTTTTCTTATCATTTTATTTTCTATCAAGTCAATATATGTAGTTGTTTTATTCACTATTTTAAGACCACCATGCTACTCGTCGCTATTTAGACCATTATGAGGCCTAAGATTTATATAAAATAAAAATATAAGGAGGTTAGGAGGTTGGGATAGACACACTACTATATATAAAATAGATAATCAACAAGGACCTACTGTATAGCACAGGGAACTCTACTCAATACTCTGTAATAACCTATACGGGAAAAGAATCTGAAAAAGAATAGATATACATATAACTAAATCATAATGCTGTACACCTGAAACATAACACTGTAAATCAAGTATACTCCAATATAAAATAAAAATTAAAAATGAAAGCACTGGGCTTCCCTGGTGGCGCAGTGGTTGAGAGTCCACCTGCTGATGCAGGGGACACGGGTTCGTGCCCCGGTCCGGGAAGATCCCACGTGCCGCGGAGCGGCTGGGCCCGTGAGCCATGGCCGCTGAGCCTGTGCGTCCGGAGCGCGTGCTCCGCAATGGGAGAGGCCACAGCAGTGAGAGGCCCGCGTACCACAAAAAAAAAAAAAAAAAAATGAAAGCACTACATCAGTGGAGAAGTGAAACCAAACTGTCAACCAGTCGAAACCAAACTGTCAAACCAAAATGTCAACCAGTTATTTTATCTATTACAGCATTGAAACCAAATCATCAATCAGTTATTTCACCCCTTAAAGCAAAACTGCCTTATGGCCAATGAGTTGTATGGCCAAACAGTAAAACTGCTTGCAGCAAAGACTTATGGCGAAAATACCTAGAACCGTTGCCACCACTGTACAGCAGTATTTGTTCATATAAATATTATAATGCTTTTCTGAGTTTTGTCCTTATTTTATAAAAATGAGTGAAAAAAAAGCATTCATTCTAATGCTAAATAGCATGAGTCTCATAAACCCGTCACACTTATCACAAAGATGGAGCTCAATAGCAGGACCCAAAGTGGTGAATGCTAAGCTATAGTGAGGTACTCACTGAGCCCATAAATATAAAAAAATTTTAGAAAACATACCATATTTTTAGCCAATAAATTCAGCATTTAGATGTGCCTTCATATATATTTTCAAGAATGCGTTATGTATAAAATTGTAGTCTTCCTCTAGTAAGCTTGAGGTGAATAATTTAATGGTACAATGAAAAACTTAATCTTGAGAAACTGGTATCTAACAAAGGAACAATTGTGTTTTGAGTTTAAATATGGAATTTATATTTCCTCAAGACATTATCATCTTTTCATAATTATCCTGTATATGATATTTATTCACAAGCGCACAGGGAAAAATATTCATAGGACAAGAAGTTAGGTTAAACACAAATTCCACAGAATCAAAATAAACCATATACTTCTAAAAGTACTGTTTTTGTTGGCATTTACATGTTCAAATGTCTACTTTTAAGTCACAGCAGAAAGTACAAAATCCTAAAAGCGTCACCTTTTTTTGAACATTAGACATTTTGCTGAACTTTGAGGGTTATATTTATAAAGATGAACATAGGTTGAACACTACCCATGCATTTTTGTCACCTTGCATAGGCATAGCCTTAAATAATTGGCTTTTAATCGATATTTGTTATATATATGAACTAAAAATGCACAGAATATGTGTTTGTGGGTAAAATACGAGCAAAAGATAGGGAGTGTATGTATAGAGGGAATGCAGTTAGGAGAAGGCTCCAAGTAGGCTGGTTCCAGTTAACTGGTGTTTTAAATCCAATTTCAAAAGATATTTCCAACAGAGCTTTGTGCCACACTGAACTTGAAAAGATGGTTTTACCAATTTTGTGGCATTTGGGTGGTCACTGTTATAAAACTATGTTCTACAGAAACTACATATATGTTTATATCAGGGATTACTAATTAACCAAAATATACCTGTGCCCCTTCTCTAATAATAGAATGCCCGAGTTTTAAAATGGTTGTCCAGCTAGACTAAATTTCTAGCCTCTTTTTCAGCTTGGTGCGACCATGTGATCAAGTTCTGCATATGAGTCGATGTTAAGGTATGTCACTCCCCACTTCCAAGAATGAACATGTGCTCTTCTGGCCCTTTTTCTTCTTCTTGCTGGCTGGCTGGAAGAGAGACTGAAGCTACATATTGAGCATGCAGAGATACCCTGACAGCTCTGGGTGCTGTCCTTCTGGTCTGTGTTATGTGAAAAAGAAAGAAACGATTTTGCCTAACACCACTATATTCTAGGATCTCTTTATTATAGCATCATAGTCTATTCCTTATTATTACATTTTTCAGATAAGTTTGAAGCTTGAATTAGTAAAAGTAGAAAATCAATAAACATTTATAAAAATGATGAATCCACTCAAATCTGTATATTTACTTGATATATACTGTAAGGCCTGCAGAATTTTCAACAAAACAATTCTTAAATATAAACAATAAATTAAGAAGAGTTATAAGCTATACAGGAACAAGAGGAGAAAAAACAAAAATAAAAGAAGTTATAAAAACTCCTGTGGTCTACTTAATTATATCAAAATTTACAATATCCTATTTCAGATAATGGGAATTCATAGACAAATATATTAACACCCTTGTTCTGTGTTCCTTTACGTCATGGTCAGTCAGGTTTAGCCACAAGAGGGGACACAGAAGAAGCTCAGGAAAACAAAGTTTATTATACTCCAGGTCCTAGAAAGGGGGGTCACAGAAGAAGCATCATGTTTTGGTCAGGTGGTAGAAGACAGGAACAAGGGAAGAGCTTAGGCCAAGGCCTTTATCAGTGTTTCTGCAGGAAAGGCAAGGCGGGGCAGGGTAAACAGCTTAGGACTGGGTAATTTGCATAATTCTGTTAGCCTTTGGTGGGCAGTCTCTAGTTGTCTTGTACTTGGCCATGGGATGAGTTAAGGAAGAGGAAAATTGCCTGCTGGAGTGTATGGGCCAGAGAGGAGGTATGGCTCTGGATTGTTTAGTTTGCAGATCAAGGAATGCTCCCAGTTGAGTCCTTTGCTATCTTTAAGAACTGGCTAGCCTGTAGAGGAGCAGTCTCTCCACAGCTAGAAAGGTTTTGAGGTTTTTTTGTTTTTATTATTAAAGCAATGTTATGTTGGCTGAACTGTAAAGCAGAAAGATACTCCATGTATTCTGGAACACATGTGCAGTAAGAGGTCTCACCTCAGGTTTTTGTTTTTGTTTTTTTTAATTGAAATATGGTTGACCAGAAAGGTTTTTTTAAGATGTTAAAGCATCATGGGAAAATAAAAAATATATACAGTATAACCCCACATTTTAGCTAGCTTTGTTTTGTCTCATTCAGTGCCTGTTAAAAACATTTCTAGGGGTTTTGGTTGATTGTCTAAGCTAGAACTACATCTAACATGCAGCAGGATGCAAGCCTTACCACAATACAAAGATAAAATAAAACCAAAAATATATCAATTCATCATTTTACAATTAAAAATACAGATTAAAATGATAGTAAATACATTTACTTAATTTTAGATTATTTCAAAAGTTCAACTATTTTTTTTTAATCTCAAGTCCAATTTTTATGTCCAACTTTCTTTTTTTTTCTGTACTTTCAACAGAGGGTAATAGTGTCTCTCCTTGGGGCATTTAGAAATGGCAGTGAAGGTTGGGGGAAGGGCATTTGGGGTTGCATGTGGGGATGCAACTCCTATTTAGTGCCCAAGAAGTCTGAAGTTCTAAACACCATGCAGTACACTGGACAGTCCTCAACAACAACAACAAAAAAACTGTCCAGCCCAAGGTGTTAATAGCATCTTCGTTGAAAATCCCTTACCTGTAACATATATACCTTACATTCTTTTATACCCAATACTAAGCACAAAAATTTCAGTGCCAGAAATCAAATGTTTATTAACATGGTTTTAAAGAAAGCACCTTAAGAATTCAAACCAGCTTTTAACATTAGCATGCTTATCCAGGTACAGAAAGAATGATACTTATCACAACTTTTTCTGTACAGAGAAATCACTTGGGACCTTTAGAAAAAGGAATAAAACGTCCCTTTATTTAGTAGTCTATCAAGAGAGAAAAATATGATTAAATTAGTTCTTCAAGTATATATGTTACATGTATCATAAGTACACATAAAACACAGTTACATGTATAGATAATACATTTAAATAAATAGATGTACACAAATATATAATAAAAACCCATAGATAGATCAGGTACAGAGAGATAGATAAATAGATGATGGATGGATGGATGGATGGATGGACTAGTAAGTCATCTTATGCCTATTCCTGCTCATTCACAGACTGCAAAAGAAAGGGTTATTTTGCTGTTTTTTCAGTACATAGCATATATAGTTTCAGTATATATGGGTACATACAGTTTCTCATATTGCCCTAGTTAAAATGCTCCACTAGATTGTTTTGTGTGTATACACACACATACACACACACATATACATACATGCACACACAGAGATGTATATATATGTAGTTATTTTGAAATAAATTACATGAAACCAATTTTGAATAAAAAATGCCAAAGTACTACGGTACTATAGTCATATACACAAAGAGAGATAGAGTGACAGGTGAAGTACAAATATTTATATACGACAAAATATATAGCTATAAAACTAATTTATATAAATAAGTTTAAATAAATATACATATAACATGCTATAATTTAATTAAAAACAAATATCTTGATATCTTTTTAATGGAGCAGAACAATCATTGTTTTCCTAAAACAGGCAAGTATAGTGCTGGTCCTTTTATACTATTATCTAAATTTCACAATAATTTAGGAAGTGGAAATAATCCCATTTTAAAGTTCAGAAATTTGAAGCCCCACATAGTTAAATGACTTATGTATTCCATAATGGCAGAGACAAATTTTATATTTTTCTAGTGTATCATCAGTGCCTAATCATGCCTCATATATAATACTGTAGACATGCAATAAATTTTGAATGGATAGATGGATGTATAATAGTTCAAGGTTGGATAAGTAAATAACCTGGTTTTTTTTCTAATGCCAAAATCAGAAACAATTTAAGAATTTCAAAATATCTAATTCAATATCCTTCAAAAAATAAAATGTAAAACATTCACCCTTTCAAATATTTGCATCCCTTCTAAAATGCAGAAGAGTCCGTCAGACACATCATTTAACAGCAATGTACAAAATATGTCGTTGCCTTTTATTACCTTGCTTCATTCAAAGATTTAATGTACACTAGCTACATAAAACAGTAATAAAATAAAGGAATAACTACAAATTAGAATGTTTTACACGATGAAAAAGAAGTAGTCGAGTAGATGAACATACAATTGCTTATATTTCTAACACCAGGGTTGAATCTAATGAAAATTGTGAAGCCAAGTTTTTTCTTTTTATTTCCAAAGTTTACACTCTTGCATTGACCAAAGAGCCCTCAGGGTACCTCAATACTGACTCCCATAAAACTGTGCTACCCTCCTTCTTGTTTCTCTTCAGTGAAGATAGCCACATCTTTATTGCACTAGGAGTTAAAAATGTAGATTTGGATCGCGAGTCCATCTTAAATTGCTGTATGACATTTGGCAAGAAACCTTCCCTCACTGAGTTTCAAATGCCTTAAATGTAGAGTTGGGAGGTTTAAATTAGACCAGTGTTTCCCAAACTTACCTGATTACAAGAATAAACTGAGTCAGTACTTTGTGTCCCTTATTAAGAATATAGATTCCTAAACTACCCTGGATATACTTGGGGGAAGGGGAGAATAGATTACAACACTGTAAATTTCACTGATTTTTGATGCAGTTTCAGCACATTACCTTGACTTTAAGCCATACATATCCTCCTAAAGTAACCAGTTACTAAATGTTTTCAAATCAGAAAAGGTAGCCTAAATATCATTCCTAAAAAATACATTGCAAAGGCTTTCCTGGTATCTATTTCAGCCTCTTGGGGCTTTTTAATTTACTTTCTTCTTCCTCATATTCTGGATGGTTTATCTCAAGTAAACAGACATTGTTATACTAGGGAATTACTGAAAAGTGAAAATAGAAGTATATTAGAAATTCCTAATATCTATATTCTTTAAAATTACCACAACAAACAACTAAACAAGTAACTAAATCACTTCATTAAAAAGTATCTTTCATTTTAAAAAATGCTCCCAACTTTATGGAATAAATAAAATAGTCTTACCTAATCGTAATTCTCCAAAATTCCCACATCCAATTTTTTTTCCGACTCTAAAGTTAGGTCCAACCATTAAAACTCCAGAGGATGAAGAACCAGTTCCTCGAGTGTTGTGTCCTGACCGACCACTAGGTCGTGCCATTCTATCATCTGATTTGTCCTTGTCTTTCTTTTTATTATCCATATCAAGTTTGCGGTACTCCACTTTGAATTCTTTAATCAAGATGACCACACTGAAATAGGGTATCGTGAGAACAGGTACATCACTAGGTAACTGTACCAGGTGGGTAATGTTAACATTCAAATTGCAGTAGGTAGTCAATTAACTGATGCGTGTTCATCCCATTCGTAAAATGTTTCTCAGTTTTCTTTTCAGCAAAACATGTCTTCAAAATTATCTTTTCAATGATGTGAGCTGATATTGATAGTGACCTAGAATAGTAAGAAAAGAAAATCAGTCAACTTAGAGAATCAAAAAACATATGTTTGGGAAATTAATAACATAACCAAAGTTTAGGCAATGGACTATTACTATTTGTTGATGCCCACTGAAATCTAACCTCAGTAGACTCTTAATCACTACCCTTTATTCGTATACTTTAATACCAAAGGGATCACAAAAACAAAACCAAACAAAGAAATCAGTCATTTGGTTACTTCTTAAAAATAAATAAAAGTAACAAAAATGTATTGAGAGGGACTTCCCTGGTGGTCCAGTGGTAAAGAATCCGCCCTCCAACGCAGGGGACGCGGGTTCAATCCCTGGTTGGGGAACTAAGATCCTACATGCCGTGGGGCAACTAAGCCCGCATGCCACAACTACTCAGCTCACACGCCTCAACAAGAGAGCCCGTATGCCGCAAACTACAGAGCCCACGCGCTCTGGAGCCGGTGCACCACAACTGGAGAGAGAAAACCCACACGCCGCAACTAGAGAGAGGCCTGCGCACCACAACGAAGAGCCTGTGTCACATCGAAACATCTCGCATGCCACAACTAAGACCCAACATGGCTAAAAATAAAGAAAAAATAAAAATAAATAAAATCACTGTTTAAAAGAAAAAATGTATTGAGTGTTTCATAAGCCAATATACATTCACTAACCAAGTCCTTCCAACTTAGAATCATTTCAATTAAAAAAAAAATACTCAAAGAATTCCAGTAAGTCAATATAAGATTTTCAGTATAAATTAAAGCAGAAAGAGAGAATACATTTTGCAAATTAGTAAAAGATTTTAATAAAAATATCTTCCACATATTCATACACTTAATAATTTTCAAAGGCTTTTCAAATATACATTCTCATTTGATCTTCATTTATTCAAATATTTATTACCCATTAAGTATATATTATCCATAACTATATATGGGAATGGAGCAATCATAACAAAGGTTGAAATAAATAGTATTTTCTCATCAGCTTTTAGCAACCCACCAAATATGCAATTATTCCTAACACCTAATCTATTTATAAAGTTTCTTATTATATTTGCCATACTCAATATCGCAGATGAAACTATAAGCATCTGTTTGGTATAAGTAAAATCAAATCATTTTTACATATACTGTTTGCTCTCTTTCCAGCTATAATAGAGTAACTGATACTGAACTTCCCCTCTTGCTATAAATAATTATAAAACTGGACAAAACATATGAAGCACCTGTTTTCAGGCACTGGATAACAGGCAGTGTAAGAGAAAACAGAAACACAGAAGGTGATTTCCACCTTCACCCAAGATCTCCAGCTAGGGACAATTTTCTGACTACAGCACAGGGAAATGGAGGCTCAGGCAGTGCACAGTGATCATAGATCAGAGTTTGGGACTGCTGAAGCTAGTGGAATTTGCAGGACCTCACAGTACTGAAGGTGAGGCAATTGTACAGTTTTAGGGATAGGAGGTGACAGGGCAGAAGCTAGGCTAGCAGACAAAGGCTACTATGGGGTTAAATAAAGAATGGAGATACTAAAGGCTGTGCAATGCTAGAATATCTTAAAAGTTCCTATCTAGTCATGGTGGAGGAACCTCATTAATATCCCAGAATTTAGCTGAAATACCAGAAAGACCAAGTCTTTAGAGTAAGGACCATACCCTAGAGAAAGGACTACTATACACTCGCCCAACTAAAGCCTAAAACCAAGCCTAGATAGGATTAAGAATACCTCCAATTACACTAACTACATTCCAGAATGAAACTTGACACACTTAAAACAGAAGAAAAAAAACCCAAAAACAAACTTTCAACAATGGTGAATTCATAATGTCCAGACACGAAAATGAGCAGTAAATGTGACATGCAGACAGGAAACAAAGCCATCAAAGGAAACAGACTCCAAGATGACCCTAATATTGATACTGGAAGACAGGACTTCAAAATTACTAAATAGCTGCTGAAGTCCTATTACATTAAAGAAAGAGACTGGAGCAGAAAAAAATATTTGAAGAAATAGTGGTTGAAAATTTCCCAAATTTACTGAAAAACACTAACCTACAAAATGAGGAAACTCAGCAATCCCATAAAGGATAGGTACAAAGAAAATTAAACCTAGGTACATCAAAGTGCCAAAACCCCAAAATAAAGGGAAAATCTTGAAAGCAGACAGAGAAAAACTACACGACATACAGGTGAACTTCTAACTTCTTATCAGAAACAATGGAGACCCAAAAGAAAATGGGAGAATACGTTCAAAGCAATGAAAGGAGGAAAAGAACTCTCAACCCAGAACATGACATCCAATAAAAATTAGTCTTTAAAACTGAAAGTGAAAGCCATTTTCAGATGAAGGAAGCTAAGAATTAGTCACCAGCACACTTGCACAACAAGAAATACTTTTTAAATAGTGCATTAGGCTTAATTAAATCACATGATACCAGACAGAAATCTGAAACTTCAAGAAGAAATGAGGAACACTAGAAATGGGAAATGCATGTGTATTCATTTCCCTAAAAGATAAATTACTCTTTAAAGCACAAATAATTTCTTAGTGTCACTTATAACATATGTGGAAATAAAATATGTGTATAACAAGAGAAATGGCAGGAGCAGGTAGTAAATGGAATTATATTATTTTAAGATTCTTATATTTGTTAAGAATGAAGTGGTTCAGTATTAATTTTAAGAAGCCCATGTTAAGTTAAAAATGCATATTGTGATACCTAGACCAAATACTAAAAATTAATTACAACAGAAATATCTAAAAAGTTAACACAAGAAATAAAGTAGAATGACAAACATTTGATTAAAACAAAAGAAGAGAAATAAGAAATATGAGACAAGAAGGAAAACAGCAAGAGAATAGACTTAAAAACACACAATGAAAATGGATCATATTTTCCTAATAAAAGGCAAAAGGCTATATTAGAAAATCAAGATCCAACTACATGCTGTCTCTAAGAAACAACTTTAAATACAAAGACACAGACTGAAAGTGAAAGAATAGAAAAAGAGGGCATTCCTGGTGGTGCAGCGGTTAGGAATCCTCCTGCCAATGCAGAGGACATGGGTTTGAGGCCTGGTCTGGAAAGGTCCCACATGCCGCGGAGCAACTAAGCCCCTGTGCCACAACTACTGAGCCTGTGCTCTGAAGCCTGCGAGCCACAACTACTGAGCCCGTGCACCACAACAACTGAAGCCCACACACCTAGAGCCCGTGCTCTGCAAAGAGAAGCCACCACAATGAGAAGTCCGTGCAGTGCAACAAAGAATAGTCCCCGCTCACCACAACTAGAGAAAACCTGCACACTGAAACGAAGACCCAACGCAGCCAAAAATAAAATAAATAAATTTATTTTTAAAAAAAAGGAAGAATAGAAAAAGAGATACTATGCAAACAGCAAGTAAAATAAGCTTGAGAGACTATATTATCATACAAAGTAAACACCAAAACAAGGGAGTATCTCCAAAGATACAGAGGTCCACTTCATAATAACAAAAATATCAATTCAACAGAAAGACATAAAAATCATAAAAATGACATAAAAATGAGCAAAATGAAGCAGACTTTAAAAAACAATGATTTGTTTGAAATGATTGTTTGAAAAAGACAATCATAGTTGAAATGTTAACACACTGTTGTTTCAATAACTGATAAAGTAGAAGACAAAAATATCAGTATGTATACTGACACAGGAGATCTAAATAATACCATTGATTACCCTGAACTAACTGACATTTATAAAATACAATATTCAAAACTGAAGAATAATATTCCCTTTCAATGTTCATCAAGAAAGATCATATGCTGTCATTATTTAAGTCTCAAATAACTCAAACATTAGAGTATACTCTCTGATCAAAACAGAATTAGATAAGGAAACAATAATTATATGATATCTAGAAATCCCCAAATATTTGAAATTTAAACACACTTTTAAGTAACTCATGAGTTGAAAAATAAGTCAGATGGGAAACTAGAAAAAATTTTTCACAGAATAAGGAAATATAACACATTAAATTTTGTAGGTTGCAACTCAAGCAATGCTCAGAAGAAAATTAGAAGCTTTAAATGCCTATATTAGAAAAGAAGTATTTAATCAATGATCTAGATTTTCTCCTTACAATGTTAGAAAAATTAGACATAACTTGAGGAAGTACTTTAATAGCACTATTGTTAATATTCCATAGGCTTACATGAAAACATAGTCTTAACAAGTGAAAACATTGGAATTCTCGGCAGATAACTAGGAGAATATCAAAGAAACAAAACAAAACAAACAACAGAAACGCTAGAATAAAAAGGATCATATCTGAAATGAAAAACATCATTGGATACACTCAAAAGTAGACTGGATAAAGCAGAAGGTATCAACAAACCTGAAAGGAGATCTAAAGAAATTATCCAGGGAGCAAAATCAATACAATAGAGAAAATAAAGCCAAAGTTTACTCTTTGAAAACAGTCAATAAAATTGGTATTGCCTAGCAAAAATGATCAAGAATAAAAAGGGAAAATATACAAATAACCAATAACAAGAATGAAAGGAGGGATATTACTAAAGATCTTATAAATACTATAAGAATAAAGAACTATTATGAGCAACTTTATGACAATAAATTTGATAACTTAGATGAAATTTAAAAAATTCTTTGAAAAATCCAACGTAGGGATACAAGATGAAACAACACAGGGATACAAGATGAAACAGAAAATATCAATAGTTCTGAATCTAAATTGAATTTCTTTAAAAAAAAATCTTCCCATGAAGACAGTATCACTGGTGAATCTATCAAATGTTTAAGGAAAAAAATAATACTATTCTTACAAAAACTCTTTCAGAAAAAACAAGAATAAGGAATACTTGTCAATTTACTTTGTGAGATCAGCAGAACTCTGAAAAAAAGCCTGACTAACACTTGACGCAAAGAAAATTAGACCAGTGTTTCTCACAAGAATAGATAAAAAAGTTCTTCACAAAATATAAGCAAATATATAAA